AGTACTTAATTATGGGTGCGGCTGTTGAGTAGAGGCATAGCAAGTGCTGCGGTCTATCGCGAGTTCGAGCCCTACCGGGAAAACCATTTTTTTTTTTTGGCTGGTGTGGTTGTTGAGTAGAGTCGTCGGCAAGTAATGCGGTCAGTTTCGAGCTCGAGCCCTGGCAAGGGCTTGTTTTTTTTTTTTAATTTATCTTTATTACCTCAAACGAGGGCGTTGCGCGAACTGCATTTGGTGTTGGAATAAGAGGATTCAGGGTATTCCCTAGTCGGGAGCTCCCGACTAGAACCAATTGTTAAAATTAAATTTCAAATTATATTTAAGAACATACATATATACGTTGAATAAATTATATTGTTAAATATAAGTAGTATTAACATCTCAATTGTTTATATGTATTTTGTTTTGTTATTGTTTTTGAAATTTATTATATAACTACATTTAACGGCTTACATTAATAACAAAATATTCAAGTCGTGAGGCGGCAGCTAAGGTGACCACTCCACAGTTTTGAACCCGCGGCAAGGAGCCGTCGTTTGCGTCGCCAAGGTCATGGCAAGGGTCCATTGGTAGTATTATTTTATCGTTTTTTTAGTTTATAAGCATCAATTGTATTAGTATAAGGTAGTAGATTTTTAAGAGGCAAGAAGCCGCCAAGGGAGTAGATTTGTAAGAGGCAAGAAGCTGCCGATATTATAATTAATTTAAGTTAACATTAAAAGGCAAGGAGCCGTTAGCTGCATAGTTCGTGTATTATAAGAATAAGTGCACAGTTATGGGCAAGTAGCCCTTCATAGTTTGAATTTAGCCGCCGGTCGCCGCAGCAACCGTGCGTTCTTAATCGGTTGCTCAACACCGAAGAGCGAAAGCTCCGAAGTGATGTTGCGAAAGCTCGCGGCGAAGATGAGCGACCGAGGCAAGCGCGAGGATTTTATCAAAACGTCACAAGCTCCGTATAGATATCGGAAATGTCGGTTGAAGCATGAAAAGGAACCATCCCAAATGCACAGTTCGCCTTTAGCTGGAATAAAGTGCACCCCATTGTATTCAAGCCTGCAGGGGGTGCTTTTAACACAAGATGTCCGGCGCGAAAACCACCCTATAATCTTCAATCGAAAGTCATTTGTTACAATCTTGATCACAGAAATGGGTTTTTTTAAGATAGGTATTAATTTTCCAGCTTATACCTTAAGTCTTCGCATAGCTGTCTTCTTTTATCTCTAAAAAGTCAGTTTGTAGTACCACTACTTTAAGTGTGTGCACCAGCGAGCACATCGTACAGTTTTTGGGGTCGTTTTCAAGGGGGACTTGTCTTATGTGAATAAACATACCAAATAGTCCTTAATATATATATACCAAATAGTGCTTAATCACGAGATAATGCTGATATTTCAGTTAAACATTTTACTTTAAGAGACGTTGTCCCAGACTCGGCGGACCTAAAGCGTTTAGAGCGAGCTTCAATATTTGGAGATTAAAATGCCTGTCAGTCACGACAATAAATTCACTGCTGCACGAATGGTTAGAGGACCTGTTTACGAAGTTTTCTGACCCTTAGGGGATACCCTTGAAGAAGTTGCTTTTATCTGAGGCTGAGGTCGAAGTATATCTTTCTATCGGCGGACACGGAAGTTATTTCAATCATCTGTCCAGTGTTATTGGAACGGAAGATCGTTGCTTTCTGGCTACCTCGTTATCAAATGAAATTTTTTTTCGTTCGAGCCCCGATGCAATGTACTGCATCCCACGACACGAGTCGCGAAGTAAAAAACGAATACAAGCTTCTAACTATATACTAAGACTAATTAATAAATCGTTTAGAATAGAAGACTTTATACGAGGAAGGGAAGGCTCTGAGCAAAATACTCTATAATGCTTGTTATAATCATCATAGAGAACCCTGAACGGTTCATGCAAGGCATAGTTAGTTAAGCAAATTGCAGCGACAAAGGTGTAATATTACATGTTAGTCAAGTAGGAATAGAGAAATTTAATTGGTTAGTCAAAAAAGAAGAGAAGATTTAACCCGTACTTAGCTTTTGAATAAATATTACATCAAGCGTGGTTCTACGATTAATTAAGGAAGTCAGATGTGGCCCCCAGTTTAAACAACAAAGTTCAAACAATGAGAATTGTTTCTGAACAGATTTACTTCTGTCTCGGTGAATAAAATATTGTGGCAACCAAATACATGAGGCATAGCCTAGAATCTCCAAGGGTCTTTGTCGTGTACGGATCGTAAAACTCCTTTGACCATCGCTTGAGGAAACCCAAGACAATTCTGGATTTATTGACCACGGTCAATAAAGTTTATGATCAAGAATGACACCTAGATCATTAACTTCACTAAAAGTACTATCAAGTGTGTAAGAAATCAGATGAGGAGGGCTTATATGGAAAGTCATTATCTTAGATTTCGAAAAGTTTAAATTTAACAGGTTGACTTGACACTAAGACTGAAGCTTATCAATGTCGGCTTGTAAAATATAACATGATGCCATATCTTTATATGCAAGTCATAATTTCACACCATCAGCATACATTAATACTCGAAAGAGAGACAGTATCGAGGGAAGGTCATTGATGCAAAAAGTAAAGAGTAGCGGGCAAAATGGCTACCTTGAGGAGACCGAAAATCACCTAAATAGATTTCGAAAAAGCATTTCTGAAATAACCTTTTGGGTTCTGCTACGCAATGGTAAGCCGAGAAGCCATAATATATGAAGCAGTAAAGAGTGATTAACGTAGTCAAAATCCTTACTGAAATCAGTGTAGACGACGTCAGTCTGCATTCTTCTCTTAAAACCATCAATTACTAATGAAGTAAACTCAAGGTTACTGGTTTTAGATCTGCGCTTCACGAATGATGAAATGGAGAATTATAAAAAAATAGAGCTACATAAATGTTTTCCACATCGACCTTACTCCCTTTCTATATTTTATGAGAAAAATTGAATACCCTCCACAAGGGTATTAACAGGACACATTAAACGAATCGACTTTGGGAACACAACGACAAACGGTATCATTTTTTTTGCCTTCTATAGCTCATATAAACGATGATTAATATAGGCAAGCGGTGGTGAGTAAATATGTAGAAGGCAGCCGGATTGAAAAATCGGTCGAAAATTAAGTTTCCTTATGTAACTCTTATTTTAATAAATATATCAACAAAATAAAATGGTTTTTAATTCAAAAATTTAATTTTTTACCGATCCTTTCTTTGCAGCTATATGCCATAGTGGGCCAATGGCGATACGATGTTGCTCATATCAAACAAATTATAAAAAATAAATAAATAAATAGTTAGGTGACAACCAAAGAACAGTGATAAGTTAATTTTATGAATGTGAAACTTTTTGGTTTTTCGTTATATTTTTACAAAACTCAGCAATTACAGGCTTTGCGATTCTCCTCACATATCTGCAAAGCCATGCGTCATGTCTACAAGTGAATTTAAAATGTAGCATGCCGAAGGCGGCTGATCTTTCTTGTTATACCCTGAACCCATTAAAAATGGGTATAAGGGTATATTGTATTTGTGCGAAAGCCAAATGTATGTAACAGGCAGTAGGAAGCATCTCCGACCCCATAAAGTATATATATTCTTGATCAGCATAAATAGCCGAGTCTGTTTCCGATAATCGATAACTCACTCCGTTTCCAAGCAATCGATAAAAATCGATATCGATATCCCATTTTTTGCGCAATTTTGGTAAATAATAAGAGCTAGAGTCACCAAACTCGACATATAGCTTCTAATATAGAATATATATTGATATATCTTACTATAATGCTAAAATGCATTTATTTGGTCTTATTCTATATATCGCTCACCTTCCCAAACACTATAAATTTTTTTACTCAATATTTACTCATCTAACGGTAGCAAATTTAGCGCCTTTAGCCAATCGTAAACCAATTTTTGCGTTGCTTTGCTTATGTATCTGCATGAAGTTTGAGTACATTAAACAAGCGAGTTCGCTGCTACATGCATATTCAAATTGCTATAAAACGAGAAAGAAAGGCTATTTTCGGCACGCTGAAGATCTAATACCCTTGCAGTGCTTTGCCCTTATCTAAGAAGCATAGGGAAAATAGTTAATGCCGAGCTTGGTCAAGATATCTTGATAAACAAAAAAGGTTTTTCCTATGGCAGATATATGATATAGTAGTCGGATGTAAATAAGATTTTGCAAAAATGAAGGGAGCATAGTGATATCTTTAAATGCCATAAATATCTTGAATGACAAAAAAGTTTTCCATGCAACAACATAATTTTCGACCGGTCGTTCATATGGCAGCTATATGATATAGTGGTCAGATCTTCATAGAATTTTGCATATATATGAGGAGTAAAGTAAAACTAATAAATGCCGAGTTTGGTCAAGATATCTTGAAAAACAAAATGTAGTGGTCCGATCCAGTTGGTTTTGACATATGTGCTGCTATGTCGACTCGGCTGTTGATGCTGATCAAGAATATATGTACTTTATGGGGTCGGATATGTCTCCTTCTATGCGTTACACATTTCACAACAAAATTATAATACCCTCTGCAAGGGTATAAAAACATCGAATATTCAAAATTAGTAATATGACCATGGCATCGCCGGAGAGTTTTTTCTAGTATATTAAACAACAAAATTTAAAAACTATGCTTCAATTGCAGTATGTCACAGCCCTAAGCCGGTAGGCTACCCTAACTTTCTTGAGTTGGGGCTCCTGAATAAAGAAAAAATTATTTTCTATGGTAAACTTTTTTGTTTTAACTTGAAAATTCTTTATTTATATAAAATCACATTCAAAAATTAAAAAAAAAAAAGCCTGAGGACACACCCAGGCTTGGCGAAATACCACCTAAGTTAACCGTTTTGTAATAAACTTATATATAAAAAAAAAAAAACAATACCAAAAATAAAAAAATTAATTTCTTTTTTTAGGGGACCTCAAAAAAAGGGGTTAGATTTGTTGCATAGTGTTGGCTGTTACTAATCTTACCTTTTGCTGCTAGACATATAAAGGTCTGAGCGAGGTGGCGTACTTTCTCGGTGTTCAGGTCAGAAAAGTCCTTACACTTCATAGGTAGACGTATAATCCAGAGCTCCAAGAAATCTAAGGGCGTCACAGATGAAATGTCCCAGCCTAGACGGCTCAACACGTATAGCTCCCATTTCTGAAAGTGAGTAAGATAGTGTAGACATTTTAAAATCTATTGTTGTTATAATGACGACCACTTAATAATGTTTCAACAAATCTTCGCTAATCGAGATTGCTCGACTAACAGATAACTAATAGGAATTGTTATATAACTTTTCCTTCGTAAAAAGCTAGCATTAAAATAATAATGAAAGAACTTGATTGGACTATTTTTCTTTTTTTTTTTTTTTTTGATAAAGATTGAATGAGGAATAAATAGAGGTTGTATCGTTACTTTAAGGTTAATATGGCATGAGTAAAAGTAAGGAGTCAAAATACAGATAATCAAAATTAAAGCAAATTAAAGAATAATGAGAGGATAAGCCTTTGTCACATCGCGCCCGCTATTTGGCTTCACGTTTTCTTTATTTTGTGCAGACTTTCCTTTGCTTGTTAAGGAACTGGCTTACTTGCACATCAGAATGTTCAAATACAAAAAATATGATCAAAGCCCAAACATTCAATTCAACAACATTTCTAATGTGGTATTGCCAGACAAATGCCTCTAAACTATTCAAAAGCGACACCGATTGCTGAATTGTCGGTTCAACAAAAATAAAATCAGCCGCCCGTTTCATGCTTGCTGCTTAGTATTTGATATATATTCCCCCATACCATATCGATATCTCGTCACTTGTCAAAAATATTGATAACGAGAAAGAAAGGCTATCTTCGGCACGCCGAAGATCTAATACCCTTGCAGACTCAACATTTTCATAATGCTTAAAGTGCTTTGCCCGTATCTAAGAAGCACAGGGAAAATAGTTGATGCCGAGCTTGGCCAAGATATCTTGATAAACAAAAAAGGTTTTTAATCAAGAACCTAGTTTTCGATCGATCGTTCCTAAGGCAGATATATGATGAATTGGTCCGATGTAAATGAGATTTTGAAAAAATGAAGGGAGCATAGTGAAATCTTTAAATGCCGAGATTACTCAAAATATCTTAAATGACAAAAAAGTTTTCCATACAACAACTTAATTTTCGACCGATCGTTCCTATGGCAGCTATATGATATAGTGGTCCGATGTTGATAGGATTTTGCATATCTATGAGTAGTGTAGTAAAACTAATAAATGCCGAGTTTGGTCAAGACAACTTGAATAAATGCCGGGTTTGGTCAAGACATCTTGAAAAACAAAATGTTTTTTCATACAACAACTTAATTTTCGACCGATCGTTCCTATGGCAGCTTTATGATATGGAGGTCCGATCCAGCTGGTTTTGACATATGTGCTGCGTGCAACAGAAAGAGGGACTTCTTCAAAGTTTCATAAAGATAGCTTTAAAACTGAGGGACTAGTTCGCATAGAAACAGACAGACGGTCAGACGGACATGGCTATATCGACTCGGCTGTTGATGCTGATCAAGAATATATATACTTTATGGGGTCGGAGATGTCTCCTTCTATGCGTTACACATTTCACGACAAAATTATAATACACACCTCTGCAAGGGTATATAAATTGTTTTAATATATACTGTCTTTTAGGCCTAGCTCAAAATGTAAAAGTGCTAGATACACCAAATTTTGTAGGCTCTCGTATAGTATGCACAGATTAGGGACATAGATTGCGCTTACCTACAACAGTTTTAATGCAGCTGAATTTTTGGTTAATTTAGGAATATTCTATTACCAAGATCAACTGCAGAAAATTGTATCTAGAACTTTTAAGAAACAAATAAATTATCAAAGCCGCGTGGCAACGAGCGCGACGAACATACATTCATATTTTGGTTGTTGTAACTAACTTTTTTTCTTTTATTTATATTATAAACAAGTAAGAGGTTCTAGTCGGGAGCTCCCGACTAGGGGATACCCTGAATCCTCTTCTTTTAACATCAAATGCATATATATATTATATTTTAGAAGCTAAATGTCAAGTTTGGTGACTATAGCTCTTATTATTTACCAAAATTGCCCAAAGAACAGGATATTGACATCGATTTTTATCGATTGCTTGGAAACGGAGTAAGTTATCGATTATCGGAAACAAACTCGATTTGCGCAGGCACTAGGAGCACCTACATCTTAAATTTCAAGACTCTAGCTCTTATAGGTTCTGAGATCCTTGCGTTCATACATACGGACGGACAGACAGACGGACATAGCTAGATCGACTCGGCTATTGATGCTTATCAAGAATATATATACTTTATGGGGTCGGAGATGCTGCACAAATACAATATACCCTTATACCCATTTTAAATGGGTTCAGGGTATAATTATATTTATTTTATTTATATTATATATATCTTCACACATTAAATAAATAAAAATAAAAAAAGAGTAAGGCCAAGGCAAACTATCGCGTAATGCGGGCTGTATTTGATGTCGGTAGAAGTAGTTTCATGGTATCCTCTATTCGAACACTCCCAAAGAAGAGTTCTCTTAAATGTTTATTTATTGCGTCATAATGTTAGAATCGATTTGTGTGAATGTAATGTAATAAACAAAAGGAAGTATCGTCGCCCCAATAATGTCTATATTTTCATGTTCAACATGCTCAGCTGTTATGGGAATGATCGGACGAAAATTAATTTATTTCAATTTAAATTAGTGAGAAGCGGTTTTTTTTAGAAAATCTTGTAGGTTTTAAGAGCTTGAGTCATTGAGCTTGCTCATAGTGCGCCGAATGGGAAGTTAAGGCGCAAGACAATGCACTCTGTATAAGCTGTTCAGCTTTCGTTTTATTTAGTCTTTCCTTAGCTTCTGGTGCTTAGATAGGGCAACCAGTATTAAGTATCCAGTGTCCACCATTTTCTATTTACTCTTTTCACTGTCGTAATCAGTAACAGTCTTATGTTGTAATGGGACACCGAAATCGGTCATCAAATCGGGCTTCACAGACACTGTTTTTGTTTGTTCAGGACAGGTAGGGAAAAAGAAGGCAATCGTTCTCAAGTCTAAAACCATTGAAACTAAAATTTTTAATCTTCAGTCAGTTTTGCTGGAATCTAGATCTATATTCAAATATCTTCAGAGGCATAAGTGATCTCTTTCCAACAAAAAGAAAACTCCGCCTTTCTTCTCTCCAATATGGTATGTAATTTGTCATGTCCGATTTCTAATAGCATTTTAAGGAACCTACGAAAAATCCAATTGGATTACTCCTTATTCCACTCGTGCTCTCAGATTAACGTGGTATTAGAAGCAGACATCATTCCGTAAATCCTCCTCGGCGGCACACAACCAACCATATGCTGCTCACTACTGGGCATGGAGACCAGACCAGGAGTTCAAAAGTTAAGTTCAGTGCCGCGAGAATATCCTTTTCCACAAGAATTCTGGTCAGTCCAGAACCACGAATGGAGATTTGCAAGCCAAACTGGCAAAAGATTCTACCTCACTCTGCCAAAATAGCTTCACTCGCAAAATCAAAATTGCTAAGACAGGAAGACATACAGCTACGTTACCCTTCAAGAATTCTAATCAGATCAGTTTGGATTATTCTGGATACAAAGCACTCACTCAGTTTCTGAAAAAGAAAGTTGTTTAAAGAGAAATATCACTACAAGTGCAGAACGACTCCGCGAGCAAGTTCGACTCACGAGCTTTGATCATATGAGTCAAGCCGCTGCTAGTAACGGCCTTAATAACTTCTATCTCCCTCAACACGCTGTATTTAAACCAGAAATCACTACCACAAAGGTTGACGATGTGCCAAACGCCTCGAGTGGCAAAACTTTGATGAATGTCCTAAACAGAGGACCAGTTCTCTAGTCCGATTTAACCATTCAGATCTTGAAATTCCGTTTCTTCCGCTACGTTTTCAATGCCGATATTACACACACATTGAATTTCAAAGAATCTGCTATCGGAAAAGTGATGGCGACCTCTGTGATTATAAGGTCAACACTGTCACCTTGGGTGTTAATTTCGCTTGCTGCCCTGCAGTTCGGGTTATGCCGCAACTGTTCATAAAAGTTCGTCCACAATACCCGTTGGCGAGCAACAGAGAAAGCAGACACCGATGAGTTCCTCTGCTATACGAAACATGAGGAGATTTCGCCAAGTTGCTGGATCCAGCGGGATGGTTCTCCCATTCTTTGTGCGTGTTAAGATCTGGCTTCATGACATAGGATCTGATCATCGAAAGCTATTCATCTCTCACTGAGATATGCATCACAGCTGTCACACCTGTCTATCGAAAGCCAGGAGCTTTTCTATGGAGAGATTACCCAGTCCACCAACTACGGTAAATGATACAACCCTATCTAGCTAGCAGATGTGTTCCCTCACGAGACCTAGTAACCAATTATCTGACATGGACCACAATAGCCACTATTGCCGCAATCCGAATGGCCAGCCTACCAAATCCGTCCATAACTCTATTATTGCATATGAGGCAAGTAGGCAAAGTTGCCTTCAAATCCCAATATCGTAGCCCATGTTTACCGTTTCATCAAACGTTGACAGAACGTCAGCCGCACTAAGCTATCGAAAGCTCAAGGGTAGTTTGTTATACATACTTATTGCATTGAGTACCCTAAGGAGTATCTGTGTATGTTCAATAAGCTGCTTATACCAAGTTTAAGTGCACTCGCTTATCGCGTTTATCTGTGAGCGCTTTAAAGTCTCTCGTCTGTTGAGACATCCGACCCTCCTACCATATGCAACAATTCATGCATTCACATCTCTCTCCAAGGTGAAAACCAGTTCTCTTTTTTTTCTGCTTCCATTCTGCGCTTTACGAGGAATTCGTTGAACTTGCATATGAAGGCAATTTATAATTACATGATTTAAGCTAACGCTTAAAACAAATATGTTAAAGTGATTTGGCATTGGTTAAATTTTCGTCCGAATCATCTGAGTCGAATGTATTATCGGGTGTATCGAGCAAGCGTAATAACGACTTCATGATCAGATATTTGTCATCCTTCTGCTTCATTATCAAGTCAATGATACACCGCAATATGCCCCAGGCGTTATCCATGCTTAGATTAATCTGCGTGGCAAGCTTGTACGGCTTAAG